AGAACTCATCTACTCCAAGATCAACTTATTCATTTTGAACTTATACTCTTGGAAAATTAGCAAAATACCATACTCGAGTCGTTTTTTTCCTTTGGCAAAATGTATCGCTGTCGAAGTAATGTAAGTACAGTACTGTACTTATTCAGAAAAAGGTTCGGGAAGGAAAATAAATGTATTCTTTGTGTACCAATACTTCTATAATTTGTCCATCATTTTATTTTGAGTCAAATGAACCTATGATCTCAGCATCTATATTTTGTTTAACTATATATATTTATCTGTATTTATCTATACAGTATTTATTTTTGTTAAAGGTTGTCTTTTCTTATTTTGCTTAGAATTCACAGGATTTGGGATGCCATACTGTGCTGCTAATTTATTATTTTTAGCAACTCTTGATTATTTTTTCCAGATAACCAGCTGTCTCAGCGGAACTGCAATCACTTTTCAAGTGCTTTTCTTGGTAGAAATTACTCTACAGTATCTTCTCAACTCATATATGCAGGGCACTTTTGTTGATAAATTAATAAAGCTTTGAAGGAAGCGACGGCACTGAAAAGGTGTTGAGAAATTTTGAATGACATACAATTCTGAAAAAGATGTCGTATTAGATTCAAAGATGATCTTAGAAAAAAATTATTATTTTTTAATTCGTTTTATTCTTGAGCTAGGGTTTATGTTCAAAAATCTATTCAGTAAACTCTTCAGTTCATACAATAAAATATGTTCTCGAGCGCGAATCTACCCTTAAGTGTTTATAAAAGTTTAAAAAAGTTTAAAAGTTAAGTTAAGTTTTAAGTTTATAGTTTAAAAGTTTAATTGGTTTCTCGATCTACCCTTTTTTATTACTGAAGACATTTTGCAAAATAGTTGAATTAGTACATCTGTTCGACTTGCACAATTTTCCCTCTCGGTTGTATTCTTCGTCAAGATGTCGCTATGCGATTTGTACAGCACCATCGTCTTCGCCTTTGACCACATACTGGATCCTGCCTCAGAGCAACAGGCAGTCGTTTGTCGATGGGCGAGATTTATTTGTTTCTCGCCTGCTGCTGCAGCTGCACGTCATGCGTTGAAGATGTGTGTATATGAACAAGCTCATATTCTTGCTAATGCACATGCATCGAGCAGACCATTTGGAACACATAGAATGCGTTCTTCCGTTGCGAGAGCGAGAAAAGAAAACGAAATATTATACTGTATATATACCCGCGCGGAAACATGAGAACCGTTTTGCCTTTTCGCCCAAATATGTGGATGAAAATGCAGAGTTATTTTGCACGGCTTAGGGCTTGACGATGCTTGCGTCTATACGGCAGTAAACACTTCGCCTGAGATTTGCAGGATAATCGTTCCACCCATTACCGCAGAAATATTCTCAGTCTATATTTATTTTATTCTTTAAGAAAGGAAAAAAGAGGAGGTGTGATGAATAATGATTTACTCCAGGAAAATATGTTCTGCAGTCTCATTATGAGAGAGCTTGCGACGCGAGAAAACTCGGGGAATTTTCCGTAGCTTCTGGTTAATCTTCACAAAAGGGCTTTTCAGCTTCCATGGTGGATTTCATACATTACGCCAATTCCGAGCCGTGACGGTGTTTTTGCAGAATGTTTCGGGTACAAATTATGTCATGTCTACCATTGTTCAGGAAGGTTCAAAAACTATTCCATTTGTAGGAAAGTCGTTTTAGCACCACCTAACTGATGGTGCCTGCGCACCGTCGATTTTATTTACACTTTTTTGTTGCTGAAAAAATGCAGCATTCTTGCACTTCTACAGTCTTCGGTGGAAATTATTTTTTAAATTGCGGCAGAACATCTGGGCGGGTTTCAGGCAGTTGGTTTGTTTTTCTCTCACTTTTTTTGTTTTTATACTGAAATAGTGACGTTTACAGTTCTGGACTGCTGTAGTTTGAGGATCACGTGCTGAGCTCACGTTGGGGGATCCCTTGACTGCACCATAAAGGAGGTGTTCCGTGACCAAGTATGATTTGTCAGACGCGTTGTCAGCACGTTTCCCGGATGAGTCCGAGATGGGGAAATTTATTTTCGATTATACAAAAAGCTGGAGTTTGTGATGACTGTTGATGAAGACGTATATGAACTTCAAGTGATGACCGCATTCAACGAATGCTTTTGGCCTTCCCAAAATGCTCGAGTTTTTCTACTGATATCGTCTTCTGACACGTTCAGCCTTTTCAAGAAATGATACATTATGTGGAGTCGTGTCCGCGGAATGCAGTTACAGTTTTATCCGAGGTTCCCAGAAATGAATCATTTCTTTTGAAACCTGGATGTTCGGTGGAAATCTGAGGCTTCATTCGCCTGATTCGTATGATGAATACTTGATTTCACAAATACAGTAAAATGTACTGTATTTCATTTCCCTTAATCTGTTCATCATCGAGTTCTTAATAAATAAATAAAGAAATAAGGACAAATCATGGAACCTCGCTCTTCTCTTTTTTTTTAAAACCTGATGCTCCAGAAACTGGTTTCGAGAAAGTTCAGTATTTGCTTTTCGTCTTGTGTCGAAGAAAAAGTCGTTCGACTGGATCATGAAACCAATATTTCTCAAGACAAGTTCACATTGTGTGTTGCCAATTCATCGAAAAGCTGTATAGTGGAATATGCTCGAGGCGAAACTAAATTGGATGAGCAATTCTTGAAGTGTCGCTGAGATTTAGTGATTTCCCCAAAGTTTCATTTTTTAAGCTTTCGTCTTTCGCCTCGAGAGAAAATAAAGCGTGAGAAAACTCGTCATCGCGTGCTTTTGCATCGTTTCACATCGGCGAGAATCGATAATCGATAAGAAAGGATTACGTCAAAAATAAAAGGAGACGACTGTGCACTTGAAGAACAGGTCTTGCCCTCTGAAATGGCGTGAGCTGGTCTTTGAATAAGGGATAGCAATCGCGGGCGAAGCACCGGAGCAGTGCTGCCCTGTTGGACTTGGAATTCAGTCGGGGAGGAGGAATATCCNGCGACGGCACTGAACAGGTGTTGAGAAATTTTGAATGACATACAATTCTGAAAAAGATGTCGTATTAGATTCAAAGATGATCTTAGAAACAAATTATTATTTTTTAATTCGTTTTATTCTTGAGCTAGGGTTTATGTTCAAAAATCGAAAAGTTTAAAAAAGTTTAAAAGTTAAGTTAAGTTTTAAGTTTATAGTTTAAAAGTTTAATTGGTTTCTCGATCTACCCTTTTTTATTACTGAAGACATTTTGCAAAATAGTTGAATTAGTACATCTGTTCGACTTGCACAATTTTCCCTCTCGGTTGTATTCTTCGTCAAGATGTCGCTATGCGATTTGTACAGCACCATCGTCTTCGCCTTTGACCACATACTGGATCCTGCCTGAGAGCAACAGGCAGTCGTTTGTCGATGGGCGAGATTTATTTGTTTCTCGCCTGCTGCTGCAGCTGCACGTCATGCGTTGAAGATGTGTGTATATGAACAAGCTCATATTCTTGCTAATGCACATGCATCGAGCAGACCATTTGGAACACATACGTAGAATGCGTTCTTCCGTTGCGAGAGCGAGAAAAGAAAACGAAATATTATACTGTATATATACCCGCGCGGAAACATGGGAACCGTTTTGCCTTTTCGCCCAAATATGTGGATGAAAATGCAGAGTTATTTTTGCACGGCTTAGGGCTTGACGATGCTTGCGTCTATGCGGCAGTGAACACTTCGCCTGAGATTTGCAGGATAATCGTTCCACCCATTACCGCAGAAATATCCCCAGTCTATATTTATTTTATTCTTTAAGAAAGGAAAAAAGAGGAGGTATGATGAATAATGATTTACTCCAGGAAAATATGTTCTGCAGTCTCATTATGAGAGAGCTTGCGACGCGAGAAAACTCGGGGAATTTTCCGTAGCTTCTGGTTAATCTTCACAAAAGGGCTTTTCAGCTTTTTTTTCAAGACCATGTTTGAATTCATTCGGGAAAAATGCATCATGAGCCAAACCCCTTTGAGTTTGACCACTCATAGGCAAGTCAGATTTGCCAGTCAGCGAAAAAAATGTGCATAAATCTTTTGCTTGATACCACAACAAATGTTTTTTTGTTTTATTCAAAGTACTCTGTGACATCCGAAGTCCGAGAAAAAGCTCAGGTCAATCAACTGTTTGCCTGAACTGTTACTGCATGAACAGGACTGTTTGTGGTTCCAATCTGTATTATTCCAACTTCTGTGCAAAATATTGCAGATTGCGTAGCTTAAATGTTTTTAAAATTGTTTCTAACTTTCTCTGTGAAAAAATTCGGGCAAATTTTGAACATTTGAACGTCATTAAAGATCCGTTGATGCTCATCGTAAAAAAAAATTGAAGATCAATAATGCACCTCTTATTTTAAAATGTAAAAAAGAACTGAATTCCGAAAAAGGGAAGAAAAGGCCAAGAAATCTTTTCAAAAAATGAACCTAAGGCGGCTGATAATTTTTGTGTGTGGCATTTTTGGGTTGCAGTATAAATTTACAAGATTACAATATTTTCCGTTCTCTTTTCGACGTGATGAAAAAAATCAAAGCAGGATTCCGGTGACCAAAAATTCTCGTCAAATTTTCGCAGGGAAAATGAAGGTCGTGGCCCTCATACATATTATAATGTCGGCCCGAGAAAAGAAATAAAAGAGGGACGACCTTTTTATGTCGTCCTAGCTTCCGTGTCAGACCGAAAAAGAAGATAATGGTCGTTAAAGGCTATTTGTACAGTTTCCCATCGCATAGTGCAGTATATTCCTTTCCTTATTGCTTGGGAGTGCCTGAGACCGCAATTAGTCAGTCGTGCGGTCGACGCATTGATGCGCTGTCGGCGATTCAGACCCGTCAGTCGTTTCCTCCATCAGTAGCAGCAGCAACAGCAGCTGCTGCTGCTGCATCAACAGCCCTGTTCCATCAGCAGGGATGATACAGTCTGCTAAGAAAATAGCAGGAGAGTGGCCGAGAGAGAGAGAGACAGAGAGAGACCATGTGGGTACCATGGCAACTGTCAGGTGCCCGCGGTCTGGAGGGGTGATTAAATTACCTGGGTGACCCGCGATTCCTGATGCCCCGACGTGGACGAGCATCCGCCACCCAACTCTACAGGCCTTGCCTTGGGGCTCAGGCTTTCTGGTTTCATGCCTGCGTTTTTTCCACCTGTGTGTAGGGTCAGCATGCGACCCGAATGAGGGGCACTGCTAATTTTCTCAACCCCCTCTTTTTTTTTTAAGCTTTTGTTGACCGAATGCGTACTGTGTTGTCAAGACAGCTCTGACGGCATGGCGTTTTCGAAAAAATCAATAATAGTAGCCGCGAAAACAGGGGGAAAATACATGCTAGGAGAGATGTGTTTAGCAATTGAAATGTTTAGTACAGTATACGTATAATTGCCGATTGGAGCGGCTAAAAATGTGCACTAAAGCGATCTTCAGTTGAAATTATTTTTGAATTCTTTAAATGGCATTGATTCATTAATTTTAAAAAACTATTTTTGCTGATGCGTATCGTTTATTGTGTTGATTCGAATAGACCGGGCATCAGAAGACAGCATTTGTATAATTATCTTGATTTTAAATAGGGAAATATCCTTTAAATGACTCATTCAGACAATTTGCTGAAAATTCTTGAATCCGATCGTACAACAGTATTATGTAAGCTGAAACAAAACAACGCGCCTCGAAACAACATTCAAGAAACTTATATTCGAGAAACCTATTATCTAAAGATTTTAAATCGCCACATGAGCTAATAATCAGCGCCAAAAAAAAAGAAGTTTGAACCATCAGTGAAATGAAGGATCTACGAAAATGTATTGTTATTGTCAATTAATTCGTGGATAGACCTGGGATATTTCCCAAAAAATCGCGTTTAAAAACTTCTTCGATCTAGAATAGCGCGTGTTGAAAAAAAGCCACCGAACCAAAGAATTGAATATACGGATGAATAACTAGAGCATAAAATATTATTTTCTAAATATGCCACATGATTTTGTTGTTGTTTTCAAATGGTGGTTCGCTCAGAAAAATAATGGACCGAACTTAGCCTTTAAAAACTGTCTCTCCGCGTGACTTATTCACTCTCCCCCCGCAAATTTCCGTGTATGCTTGACTTGTATCTTGCAATTTTTTTTAGCAAAGTGCTACAGTTGCTGTTTTGAAAAGCTCTCAACAGTGCAATGCCGTTACGTTACTCAGAACAGTTCTGGGCTGCAGTTTCTTAATGTTTTTTCGAATGTTTTAAATGCAACTGTCGCTCGAGTCCGTTCAAGGTATGCCACTCGCTATTACACTATTGTACTACATTGCATAAACCATAAATGGCATGAAACACCGAAAATGTTTTCAATATTTTTCAGAACGTTGCGATATAGTTCCATTCAATTCCGGTGAGGAAAATATGTACTGCCTTTTCGTAGGCAGCAAAAGCCCTGGACGACTAGGGAAGCTTTTTATATATTTTGTATTTTCATAAGATTAAAGGCGATGAGCTGATTGCTACACGTTCCCGTGTAATACCTGAAATAGAAATCAAGCTGATTGCTACATTTTTTTACCTGGAAAAGAAATCTGATTAAGGCAGCTATATGGCATTCTGAACAGGAAATGAGCTTTATTTTCTGGGAAATGTTTTGACTGCATATAGGTTCATTAGAGGACAACTATAGGAGTATATATTGGTATCTTCTGTTGACCAAGCTACGCTTGTGTTGAGATTTCTGTCCCTTACCGGGGTGTTTTTTGAGTATTCGTGAAATTTTGAGGGAAGGCCTTCCAATATCAACTCCAAATTTATTGGTTTATAAAACTCTATCATTTCACCGAGGCAAGGTACTTATAGTCTTTGATGCGCTTCTCTTTTCAAGTACTTGTATACCTGAATGCAAATTTCATGAGTTCATTTTCTCATGGTTTTCCTTTATTCAAAATGTTTAGTTGTTCGTTTGAAAACGATTCAAATGAGAGGAAAGAATATGGAAATCAATTTGTCAGAATGGAATGGGAAAGAACTTGCGGATTTACCGCATTTCCTGCTAAATTTCATTGAATTAAAATTTCATGATTTTCTTTTCGCCATTTTCCTTTTTGAAAGGTTTACGATGTTTGAAAATAAACGATTCATATGGTAAGAGATGATACGGGAATCCCTTCTTCAGAATTTAATGAGAAAGAACTTGGGTTTTAAGCACTTCCTTCTGCTGTAATTGGAAAACTCGTTATTTTTCAGAGCGAAGAAAACATACTTCAGTCTTCAAAAAGCTTTTTTATGTCCTCTCTCATTTTTCAGAATTAAATTTTCAAGACTTTTATTTTGTTTGCGTCTCAGCTTGGAAAGATTGGAATGTGGGGTAGGAAAATTGCGGTACTTTTGCAAACGGATATTTATTGAGTGAAATAGTTCGTATCTCATTGATATGATAGCTTGTTTTTTAAAGCTCGAAGAAATTATGGAAAATCTTTGTAATGCGATGGTCATCTTATTTCGATTCAGAAATTCGTGCTTCATCAGCTAATGTGCTAAATCAGAATTGATTTCCTCGAAAACGTCAATGAATTCTTGTTCACCTTAATCGAATGTTTCCGCATACCAACATCATCCATGATAAAGAACTAATTCAAAGTTCATGATACACGTTTTCTGAAACTTGATCAATTAAAATAGTCTTTAAATTGTTCTTTCCTTGACATGTTAAATTAAATTTCGTATCTTCAAGTTTAAAATGCTTTGCATCAATCGCTTCCGTCATCAGAAGTTCGTATTTTTGTGATTCACTATTGCCGTTCCTTTCGACGTGGATTTTTTTTTTTTATGCATGAATCATTTGCCGGAAGATCACAAATTTTCCATACATATCACATCTAAATACCCATTGGGAAGTGAATGTCTAAAAGTGGCTATTAAATGAGAATATCTCGTCTTCTGTGAAGATCAAGTACTGTTTCTCAAAAGTCCGTCAGTACTTCTGCCAGGGGAACCCTTGACTTCGGCAATACCTTTGATCTTTCTGGGGAAGTATAGAAGAAGTTTCTCGAAAGCCGATTGTTTCTCTTGCCTCTCAGGGAACCAAATAAATCCCGGAACTTTTTCTTTGTGCTATTACTTTGACTTGGTTGCTTTTATTATTACGGCAACGGCAAAATTCTGATTTAACGTTCATGCGACTCCATGCGCAAGAAAAATTCAGGTATGACTGAATGGAGAAAAAATAATTTGTTCTATGCGTATATGATCAAATGACAGAAACTTATGGGTTCATTTTTCCTGTACATAAGTTGAAATGTCGAGATTCCATCATTAATTTAGATGAGCATTTCATCACTGATACAGGGATTTTTTTCTTATGCAATGTTAAGATGTTCTGTCAGAAATTCAGTGACAAAATAAAGATGGTTCATCGTAATGCTTTCTCAATAAGTTCCTTGTCCATTTCTTTTTTATGTTATGCTTTAAAAAATCTTTCAGCAAAATCAAGATCCCCAGAAGCCAGAACTGACAAAACCAGGCTCTCAAGTTCTGAAGCGCTTCTTGTATGACAACTCGAGGAAAATGAACATGCAGACCAAAACTGTCCACACCAAGTTATATCCAAAAGGACCATGACATAAAAATAAATTAAAAAAGAGTTCTGGAGCAGTTTAAACAAAAGCAGCAGGCACCATTAATAACTCGAAATTTATGTTTCTTTACAATTCGAAGAAAATACAAAGAAGTTTCGAAATTATTTCGCTGCTTTTGGACTGGAATTCGTCATTACAATGATTATAGTTCATTGTTGGAAAAATTGAACTGGGTCGTCTTGAACATTTTCAAATTCGCCGCTATTCAATGCGTGTTTGGTTTCGCCATTTTTCAAGGATCCATTCCAGTAGCTGAAGCGAAATTCAGAATAAATTATTTGCTCAACGCAGCTTAATCTGAATGAAAATGTTAAGTGCTTTAAAAATAATATGAAATGAGATGACCGACCCGATTGAAATCGCAATGGAAGTATTGTACAGTAATACGACTGCTAAAAAATTGAACTTACGCAGTCAATGCAAATAACGAATGCAAAAAATCCACGCAGTTCACTTTCTTATTGCGATGTCGTGGTTTATGCACTACGATGTTTCAAATGCATTTCGCCTGCCAACTGATGCAGTGTGATTCAAGACGCTTTCGTCTAGAATTCTGTAACTCACGTGACGTGACTCATTTTTAAAAGTTCTTGTCAAATCGTTTTATTTTATTTTTTTTCAGATGCCTGCAGACGGAAGTTTGTCATCGTCCATCAACATGATCCGTGTGGACGAGAGCAACTTGGCCTTTGTGATCAACGGACTTTCCTCGTCCATGTTTCCGGCTTGCTCCTCGGTGGCGTCCGGCGGCTCGGGTCGGTCTTCTTCCGAATGCCCCACGGTGGCGCAGCGCGACGGCGCCTCTCGTCTCGTCGCCAAAGTTCGAATGGACGGCAAGACCCTTCACGGCATGCTGCTCATGAATATGGAGCGAACAGGTATATTTTCTGGCTGCGAAATAAGTTTGAAGAGAGCAAATAAAAACATCGATAATTTTATAGAATAATTTGGAGAAATTCGAAACAGGGCATCAGATTTTCAGGCTAGCTTTGGCTGGATCCATGGAAGTGAGACCCCGAGATGCGGACGTAATTATGGTGCTTGGACTTTGTCCCTATGTGGGAATGTCCGCGTATTGAATCATGTTTCCCCGATTGACTGCAATCGGAACTTATGTACGTGTTCTTCCAATTCATCAAAAATCAGGGAAAATCTTCCAAAAAATTGAATAAAATGTGTTTCTTATCTTGGAAAAAACATTATGAAATTGCACAGAAAAAACCCACAAAGAATTTTATCTTTTGGCGTCGAAAGGACCCCAAAAATCAAGGAAAAAGAACAAATTTTGCTACACTATTTATGTGCGCAAATGATGAAGACCACTCCACAAAAAAAGCAAAAAATTAACCTGTTTTTGATTTTTAAAAATTCGAATACATTTGTATGAAATGCATTCTTAATTTTTATCAATTTAAAATGCCTAATTTGTTCAAGAGATATGCAAATGAAAGGCTTTTTTCCTTAAAATTTCGAAGTATCCGTATTTTGAGACATTGTCCTCATTTCTTGTCGACACAACTGACCGTTTTAAAACTTGCCAGATTTTGGGGTAGGTTTTTTAAAGTTTCAAGTGTCCCTAATTTGAATCGTCCTTATGTCATAATTTCGACCGCATGTCGGGGTCTCGCTATATTTAAATGCGTTATCCTAATACAGTATATATATTATGTCTCTCACAAGTACTGTATGTATGACAATGCTCTTCTCATTGTTATGCTGCTCATAGGAACATGGAGTAAATATGTATCTATTGGTTCTAGATAATGAAAGAAAAGTCCACCAAAACAGACGTCTAAAAAAAGTAGATGTATCAGTTTTTTAAATTCATGTACAGGTACATGGGTTAAAATGCTGTTGTTCAATTATTGATTCATGTGACACCTGCCTGATGACATCCTAGAAAAGATTAAGCGCCTAATACGGGGGAAAACTTGCTACCCAGAAATAATTGGTGATAAATCTAAGGCGTATAGCAGAATGCTGCGGCTTTTTTCAGCTGCCTTATGTTCTTTTTGGTAGATTTTTAGGGAGAGGTGTGGAAAAATTTAACTAAATTTGGTTTTTACCGGGATTTTTTTCTTTCTTTTCCTTTAAATTTCCAGCATTGTACCCGTTTGTGAGTTACTTCGTGATAAACAAACTGAAGGTGAGCCCGGCCCAGCTGAGCAACAAGCTTTATGAGGACACAGCTCAGGAGTTTCTCACGCAACTACCTGCGGTGGTGAAGCACCTGTCAAAGCTTCTCCACCGGTACTAGTGCGCCGGCGGTCACTCGGAGTGCCGACTGGCCTGGGTCCCAAACCCAAGGGTCCGGCCCAAGTAAGAGACCATCTTCCGCGTCCTGCCGGGCAACGACGGCGAAAAGTTCGAGCGTCACTGGCTCTATTGGACAGGTTCGTCTTGAAGCTTATTCTCACTTTTTTTTTTCCTGCTATTGGCTCTTATTTGGTGTGGGTCGTCTGGGGCATCTTTTATCAAAAAAAAAAGACGTCATGAAAGAAATGACTTACGTTATGAGTGTTCTCATGCGCAAAGTTGTCCAATAACCGCTTTTAGGTCTCTATCTCTCTCTCTCTCTTTAAATGAAATCCCTTCTCGGCGAATGTATGCAGTGTGTTTCAAAAAAATTATGGGTTTTTTTCAAATCGTTTTATTCCCTGATTTGGGTTTAGGATATGAAATCAAATCCGAAGTGAATTCTTGAAGCTTGTTAAATCTTTTTTTTTAAGGGGCCTCATTCGTGATTTTTTGCGCTTTTAAATCAAACACTCTTACATCCAGAACAAATTCTTTCGCTTTTTTTCTTCAGGGGGTTGAAAGGGTCAGAATACAAACATTTGACGAATTTATTTTGAATTATTCAGCCGCGCGAAAAATCTTCCTCGTAGGGAGTGACAAATTAGGATTGCATGAGGTTTTCTCTTTCAAAATTTTCTGAAATTTTTAGCAAGATGGTGGGGGAAAAAACAAGAATTCTTTCGACTGCTTGTTTGGGTCCGACTGGTTAAATGATTGGAAAAGTGAAAAATAGACAGAGCTTCAACCTTTTGCGGACATTTGTCTCCTGAAAAAGCTGGGGCCCCATTCGATTGTCGTTAGAATGGCTTCGAATTGTTTCTTTGACGTTAGTGGTACAGTATTGGTATGACCCGCAGAGACGTTTGAAAAGTACTTGAGTACTCTTGGGGAAAAGTCTACCCAGCAGACCCCGTAGAAAATAGTTTTTTTTTTCTGCAGTACTTTCTTTACTGAATGCAATACTCACAAGAGTACGCGTTTCAACAGGTTATTGGCGAAAATCCAGAGATAGAGAGAGAGAGAGAGAGATTAAATGAAATCCCTTCTTGGCGAATGTATGCAGGGTGTTTCAAAAAATTATGGGTTGATTTTCAAATCGTTTTATGCCCTGATTTGGGTTTAGGATATGAAATCAAATCCGAAGTGAAATCTTGAAGCTTGATTTAATCTATTTTTTTAATGGGACCTCATTCGTGGTTTTTTGCGCTTCTAAATCAAACACTCGTACATCCAAGGACAAATTGTTTCGCTTTTTTTTTTCTTCAGGGGGTTATTGAAGGGGTCAGAATACAAACATTTGACAAATTTATTTTCAATTAGTCAGCCGCGCGAAAAATCGTTCTCGTAGAGAGTGACAAATTAAGATTGCCTGAGGTTTTCTCTTTCAAAATGTTTAGCAGGATGGTAGAGAAAAAACAAGAATTCTGTCGACTGCTTGTTTGGGTCCGACTGGTTAAATGATTGAAAACGTGAAAAATAGACAGAGCTTCAACCTTTTGCGGACATTTGTCTCCTGAAAAGCTGGGGCCCCATTCGATTGTCGTTAGAATGGCTTCGAATTGTTTCTTTGACGTTAGTGGTACAGTATTGGTATGACCCGCAGAGACGTTTGAAAAGTACTTGAGTACTCTTGGGGAAAAGTCGCCAAATGCTTCCGAAATTTGATGGGGTTCCTGTTGGGAGAGCTTTTGTCTTACGCGCGTCTTCCAAGAGTTTGTCAGCAGCCTGACGTACGACACTATTTTTTTATTGTACTCAGTAACATTTAAGGATTTAAAAACAAGATTCATTCGCCAAGTTTCCCGCAAGATTTCAGTACCGAAGTGGCGAGTACATAATGCAGAGCTTTTGTGCCAGTGCTCCACGCGATCTCGGTGGAAAAAACGAATGAACCCAATTTTTTTGTGCAAAATTATATTTGAATGACAGAAAATCACAACGTGGTCTATCGCGCATCATCTGAACACCTTGGACTTGTATTTTGAATTTGGACCTACATTTTGAAGAATAAAAAAAAAATGAATACATTTCCCCATGAAGTTGTTTTGTTTTGGGAAATACTGTATCTTGGGAGTTCTTCGCGCTTTGCCAATCTGACCCCTCCCTATACATACAGCTGCAAATTCGCCGGAAATTGCGATGCGCTTTATTCCCGGGGACGAACCCTGGGCAGAAGCCATAGTATACATAGAAGCATGAATGCGATTGCATCTTCTGCACCCTGATACTGGGTTAAAACAACTGGACGCTTTTCCTGAACCCAGGACAATTTACTCGTGCAAAAATAACGCAGCGAGCGAATTCGCTCGACTTGTTATCAGATTTTCTGCAACATTTGCAGCTGCATTAAAATTTAAATTATTTCGTCCTTCCCGTTTGAGAAGAAGCAGATTTCGTTGTGGGTCCTGGCGTGGTTTCGTTCGGGCATTTTTAGGGCACTTGGGCTTCGACTTTGAAAAGTAAATTCTGCGTGATGAAAATCAGCATTTTCGAGATTTGAAAATCGGGTTCAAAGGATTTTAATTTATGTTTTTTCATTGGATTTTGAAAATGATAGTTTCCATCGACTGTTAATTATTTAAAGTCAGTGTTGCCTTCGGAGAAAACTTTTAGAAAATAATCCTAAGGTTCGCTGTAGGCAGTACAGTCAAGCTGATCTGAGTCGAATTTCAAGGGACCAGCAGAAAAAAAATCGACTTGGGTCGGTTTCAAGTTAGGGAGGTTTGGAGTTGAGAAAAGGAGTACAGTGAGACCCCCACATGCGGACACCTCGACCTGCGGACAATTCGACGTAGGAACGCTTATTTTCTAATAAAATAGGCCTGACATGAGGACACTGACTCAACGTAGGGACATTTTGTGTCAAAACTGCAAATACATTTCAGGCCAAATTACAAGAAGCAGATATTTCCAGCCCTAAAATTGATGTAAGAAAAGTTCTTTGGCATTTCTCTTACCAATTTACCATCCATTTAGCTAATTTAAAAAAATTACCTCTAGCATAGAGGGACTTCCTTCTCTCTTTTTCACTTGAATGTTATTTTTACAAAGAATGCCAACATTTCTATATGTACCATACAGATGTATCAGTATTCAATTCCCCAAATGTCGATATTGTGTTGAAATATATTGATTGGAATCAGCTTAAATTGGGAGACAATTTTTGTCTTCATGGAATTATGGTGAGTATTTTGTGCATAAAATACCAATTAAAATGTATATAATGTAAGTCTACGGGAAAATGAGACTCAACTTAGGGACATTTTGACTTGGGTACACTCTTGATGCACCAATTACGTCCGCATCTGGGGGTCTCACTGTATTTTTATTGTAGGAAACATAGAAGGATATTGTTATTGGTGAAATTCTGGGCCTTAAATTGGATCTTAAATGAGTTGACAGGATGTTGAACTTGGAGGCAGGCGGGTTCATTTGCCCAATTAGTCTTTCACTTCATTTCAAAAATCAGCAAGCTACTTTTTTTATTGATTTTCTCCTTTCCATGTCGATAAAATAATAGCCGAAAGGCCTCAGAAAATTCGTGTTCTGGAGGTTTGAGAGGAAAAGCCTTCAGTTAGAGAGGTTTTAAATTCATTATTGTTTCCACGGACTTGAAAACAAATCGACTTGGAGAGGCTGGAGTTATCGAGGTTCAATTTTAGTTTTGATTCCATTAGGATTTTTTGGATCCTGTATTTAAACTTGATTTCGAAGTACGTATACGAGAAAACTTTCGAACCATCCCTCGCACTATGTCCGATGATATCTGATGTATGCAGTGTATACGGCACACAGTATATCTCGTAACAAATTCAATTTTTCATTAGCTTCTTCCTCGGTTCTTGCACTTCTTGGTGGTCTAACTTCGTTGCTCTTCTTCCTAAAATAACTCGGAGTGAATTCCTCAGCATTCCGGTTGTTCGCCACCTAGGTTTCCTGTAATATTGTCGCCTTATCACATCCCATATATAGAGGTGAGGGAATAAAATACGGCATGAAGTATCATCCTCTCGACTCGATTCCACGCACGCGTTTCACATGAGATGTAGAAAAACAAAAACCAAATTAATTATATACACACATATTTATAGAAACGGGAGACAAGAACGAGATGGAAACATGAGCCAGACATGCATCCGACGCCATTCTTTACGAGTCATGCACTCATCCGAAGAAGAACATTTCGGATGGCAGCTGTCATTTCTTGTTACGATTCGCGCCTTTTTCCTCGTGGTCGACCGCGTGTCAGCTTCGCTAGTCCGCAATTTAGTGTATTACTCTCCTGAGCTATGGGCCAGCAAATGGGCGGATTGTAAGTGATGAAGCTGCTATCATAAATTCCCAATGCATTCGTGGAAAGTGGGAAGAAGAGTCGTATATCGGATAACTGCTTATATTGAAGCAAAAGAACGCATGAAAAAAAAATTGCCCTGTGTATCCGTGTCGATTTTTTTTTTAATAAGGATGCTTGGAAAAAAAAATCTCGATCCCAAAATTATTGTTCTGAAATATTTTTTTTTCAAACTACCGATTTTTTGTGCCGATGCTACTGAATTCCTGCGATATGCTGAATTCCTGCGAAAAAAAAGTGGGAATATCACTGACTTTTGGCCGTTTTCTAATTAATTTACGATGTCATGTGACAGATTGTTTCAGCGGGAATATATATTTTTTTTAGTCAAGTTTCTTTGTCTTCAGCAGGGAGTTGGTTGACAAAGTTCCCTATACGTAAGCTCCTCTTTTCTCGTGGCCCCTTCTCAAGGCCTCAGTAGAATTTCAACATATTTTCCCTGCCCTGTGAAGAAAGGCACAGTACCGTACTTGCGTCAGCAAATCTTGCAGAAGGAAAGAGCGAATAATTTATTCAAAACGCCAATGAAAAGCTATTCCGAATCCTGGCTGTTTTATGTGGGGAACGTGGCATTCATTGCTGAACATCGCCTGTAGAAAACCCGTCATTAATTATTGCTAGGCGAGTCGAGCCTTTCCGTAATAGCTTACCTCTCAAACCAGGGACACGAAGCACGTTCATGGTTTTTCTTATTGAATTGCTTTTGTTTTCTTGAAATTATGCTTATTGAAATTTCGTGTCAATTTATAGCGTTTATTACAAACGCTTTGTGAAGCATTTTTTTTTCAGGGGTCGGCATTAAATCACGCCTATGGAGGAACATATAACAATCTCAGTCGGAGAAAAAAGGGTGATGTCTTGTCCAAGGCGTAGACTTAAATAATTGATCACAGGGTATCTTCTTTGTTGGTTTCTGCTTATTGTAATTGATGAATGAAAACTGGAAAAATCCCATTAATACAATTCCAGGCTCTCGTCCAGCGAGGGTGATTTAAATTGAGACGCAAACTATGGATTCTGCCGCTGCCAGAATGATTATATTTTTCTTTCTCATCCTTTTGAATCGCAATAAGTGACACGGACCTGTTGTTTAAATGTTTTACTTCTAATACTGGTGATCTAGTAAAGTATCTTTTCATTGTGATACCCCGACATGCGGACTCTCAGACGTACGGGCGATTCGACTTTGGGACACTTGGAGCTCGTCAAAATCTGACCTGAAGGTCCGGACAATGGCTCGAGATAGGGACACTTTGACATTTTCCGAAAAATTGAACTATTGTATTTTGTAACTTCGATATCTCTTGAACAAATTGAGCTACAGTATTTATATTTTAAAAATTGAAAGAGCGTACATGATAAATTTACTGTAATTCATAATCAAAAAGAGGCTGATTTTGAGCTTATTTTCCCAGAGTTGTTTTTTTCTATAATCTTTGCACGTTATAGCAAGAGCTATTCTTGTTTATGTTTTTTGCTTTTTGAGCTGATTTTGAGGCCAAAAGATTAGATTTTCTGTGGTTTTCTTCTGCGCAGTTGTTTTCTGTATCTTGAAGTTGAGGGAAACTATTTTTATTCAATTTTTGGGGGACTTATTTTTAATTTTCCATGAACAGGAGGAACCAATTGAATGTGTTTGCTTTGAAGTCTACGAGAAAGCGAGACTCAACATGCAGAGGATCCGACACAGAGACGAGGTCCAAGCACCAAATATGTCCGTATCTCGGGGTCTACTAGTATTGGATAACTATTACTTGTCCTTCATTAACTTTTCTCCGCTTTCTTGTCTTCAAATGTCTCATAAAAAATATTTCTCCGCTTCATTGAAAAATCGATGAACGACGAGAATATGTGAATATCATGTTCAACGTGTGTATGTTTTCCACAAAAAAGTCATCCTCCTGCAAAAAAAAAAAAAGGAATAAAGGCGTGGGAAGTTTATTATGCGTTCCGCGTGGGAGTTTGCGGGAGAAGGTTTTGCATAATATTTCGCATATTTCATTACGGTCACGGGAAAAATGTGACCATGAATCTTGCTCTAAACCCTCGTAACCAGTTTTTAAAGTTAAAACCTCGTCGTTTTTTTCTTATTTATATTTTAAATGTGTGAGTTCATTCCACTTTATCTCGTGCAAGTCCATTACGAGATTAGTTTATAGGGTATGTGGATATAGGGAAAGAAATGCGCACGCGACGAAGTTATTCTTGATGGCTCCCTGATTACCTACATTGTGAATGAGTCTATTACGCGATGCTGTCTTTGCTCTTACATCAGTTTCTCTCACACATACGTCCCACTATGGTACCCAACCAAAAGCCCCACCTGCCAAAAGCCTCCCCAGAAAGCCCCCCCCCCCAACACTTTTTAAAAATTGGATGCAAGTTTCATAATAGTGTTTGGTAGCCCTGAAAAGGGCCATTTGGTTGCATTAGTCCTCAAAAGGACTGTTTAACGATCATCTTCAACATTGCCTTCTGATGCCTCTTCCTCACTGTCATTGATGCTCTCCATGTCATTTTCTTCTAAATAGCCATTGCAGTATGCAGTTTGACCGCCCTTCTGATTTTTGATGATCTGAAGTGCACCAGCCATTGGATCAACAAGGTGAACTGTAGATTTTGCAGAATTCAGCAAGTGATGATGCTTTGGCATTCAAAGAATCACTGATGACCACTGCAGGTGAAGAATCCCTTTATATACTCAACTTACCAGCATATTGGTACTTGGCCTTGTGCTGGGCCTGCTGGTGAAAGGTGCAGCTTGCCATCAAGAGTTACAAGAATACCTGTAATCCCCAATTTTTGCACCAAGGGGGGGCTTTTGGCAGGGGGTCTTTTGACCTGGAAGGGCTTTTGGACTACACCCCCCACTATACTGTACATTCCCGGGATGGCCTATGCATGTGTATAAGATGAGCTCTCTTGCTTGGCTTATTTTTCCTTGGTCGCAAATGCGAAATGCGCATTGACCTATGCTGGAGCTTAGAAGGGATTTCTCGAAAGGCTTGCCAAATGCCGTCAGAGAAATTGAATGAAACATAATTACAGCAGTGGTGCCTTGCTCAATGAATTTTAAAAATTGCAGTGTAACCTTGTTCAATGAATTTCCCCAACCTATTTGGGCCCAGGGACCGGGAAATTTCCATAAAATTTTTTGCAGACTGGGAAATTTCCCAAAAACTTTCTGTGGACTGCTGGCAAAGTTTCATTAAATTTTTGCAGACTCAAAAAAAGTTTGCTTGAAAGAATTTATGGCAGGTATTTGAAAATTTTCTGCTTTTTTGCAAAGATTGAGAAACAGTGAAGCAGAATGTCTTCAAGAAATGAAGAAGGTGGGCTTGAAGAAAGGTTTCTCAGAATGAAAAAAATTTGAAATAATTTATTTCAGCAGGTGGCATACTCTAGGAAATAAAGAAGGTACTAGTTCAACAAGCCCGAGGAAATTGAAGATGTGACTCCTATAACAAATGTTGTCTTTCCAAAAATAACAAACGTTGTTGCCTACAAAATGTTGTAACCAAAGAAACACTGTCTTTCCTAAAAAAAAAAAAAGCATTCTCTTACCCGGCAAAGATTCTCTTTCCTGACAAAAGTTGTTTCACTTTACCCTTGAACACTGGCAGGTTCCTACCCATCCAGTGGCAAAGTGGTTTTTTTTTCACACAGGCTCATATTGGTTTGATCAAAGGTCAACAATAAGAAGCCAGGACTGAGAAATCCAAATCTGGAGATAATCTGGGAAGCGTAAATCCTCTTTTATTTGAAAACTGCCGCTCTTAATCATACAGTAGGATTGCATAAAAAATTAATTGAGCGAGGATTTTTTTCTGCCAAAATATACCGCATGGAGAGAAAAATATTTAATTTTTCCCCAACTTAGACCCTGCTTCTCAGTCCAGGTTTTTTCCCATTTTAGTGCTCCTGATGGGCACAAACTTTTGGAAAAATATCCACAAAAAAAAAATCACAGACAGAAGGGTCAAAAACATTATCTGGTATTTTAAAAAACGCGTTTGCCTCGAAAAAATGTGAACCCATCCCAACTCATTAATTCTTCAAATACTTTTTTCACATAGGAACTCTTTTTTGATGGGCCAAAGAAAGCAGACAAGATGAAGACTTCGTCTCATAAATACCTGTACAGTATTTTCATTGGATTGGATTACAAAATCATCAAAAAAGGGGGGAAATTGGCGAGGAATCACCTGTCATTTTCTTGAAACAGAAAATTTTATTTTTGGTACCTTTTCAGAATATTTTGCTCACATGAATAAATTAAATGGGCTTATTAGCAGTAACCATTGGAGGGAAAACGTGACTTGTGGATGAAACGTTTTGCCTGATACACTTTGCGTTATAAAAAAAATGTGTGTTCGTTAGACGAGGGATCGTAGTTCGTTGAACGAGAATAGCATGAGAAGCAAATACTGTACATTTATTACTCTGCTGCTTTACGTGAGGAGGATTTTCTTCAGGTTAAGGGCTCGTTTCGCTCATTTTTTATGACTCCCTGATGGGTTTGTCAGTCACAAAACTACCCGAAAATTATTTAAAAAAAAGAATTTGTAGGAGAAGGCTTATATATCACGCGACAGATATTAAATGGAGATATAAACTTTTGGTAAGAGATATTGAGTCAGGGATAATCCCAATGAAGAGGAAAAAATTTTGGAAACTTTTGGGGAAAAACTCGCTCACTGCAAATGCAACTTTTGAAGACGACGGTTGAGAACCCTGTGAAATTGCTTTATGGAGGTGCTATACAAATTTCAACCCTGAATTTTAAGAATCTTCAAAGAAAAACTGGAGCTCATGAAATTTCGGAAGTTGTTTCTGATGGATTAACATGACGCGAGGTCCCTTTGTTAAGTCGCTGATCATTACATTTGAATCAAATTTGTCTTCCGCAGAATTTTTTTTGCAGGTCCGCAGGAAATTTTCAGCATAATACATTTATCAGAAGTAGCAATGAAGTCTGTTATCTTTTTCTAAACTTTTGGGAAGACAATGGCAGTTAAAATTGTCTCATGAAAAATAAAAGTTGTCTTCTCTCCTCATCACACTTCAAACGAATTGTCCCCTGATGAAAGAAATTATTCAAATTTTTGCATTCTGAGAGACCTTTCTTCAAGCCCACCCTTCTAATTTGTTGACAAGATTCACGTATAGCTGCTTTACTGGTTTTTAACGTAATTTTTGCAAAATGCAGAAAATTTTAAATAGAGTCTTTCAAGCAAAACTTTTTTGAGTCTACACAAATTTTGTGAAACTTTGCCAGTCCACAGAATTTTTTTTTTTTATTTGCTGGTCCTCAAAAATTTTTATGAAATTTTTTCTGGTCTGTGGGCCCAAAAAGGTTGGGGAACACTGCATGTGGTACCTTTCAATTCAACCCTAATCTGTTGCTGGACTAGGGTTGAATTGCAAAACAGTCATATTGCAAGACAAGATCAAATGGCATGTTTTCTACATGACATTTATAGTTTCATTTCTCTCTGCAGGTCAAATTGCGTGGCAGAGGTCAGCCTCCCAGCAATTTTGACTGTCAAATTGCAGAACAGTTGAATTGCAAGAGGTCAAATTGCAAGGTACCACCTGTACTATATAAATGGTTCAAAAAGTTGCAATTGTAGTGTAGGGGAACCTCTTAAAGGTTCCCAGTGAAGGTCAATTATTCTGGTTAACCTCATTACCTTCTCAAATGAGTTGCAGGAGCTTACTCTGAACCAAAAGAGTGCATAATAAACCTATAATCTGTATTACTGGTGGCAGCGGTTCTCTTTCAAGTAACCCACCCCAAATATTACTCATGTCTAACCCTGTATAATAATCTGTATTACTCAATTTAAATCAGCAATGATTCTTTCTTACTGATTATTGTGATAGGACTTTTGAGAACCCCTCGGATGTGTTTTTGTGGTGGGGGAGAATAGAACTGCGGCTGAGAACGTGGAATGCTCCGCAGGGTTGAGCACGTGGCCCCGTCTTGTCTGAACCAGCTTCCGTCGTCTTCACTGGTAACAGAGAGCAAGAAAGACTGACATTCTCTCCAGAAGATATTCCTCAGTGTATTTACATTTATCGGATGTTATGTTTGAGAAAAAAAAGCAGCAGCAGCAGCACAATAACAGAGAGGAAAGGAACCTACGTGGGTTGCGGTCGCGACCCGGCTGCCGACATTAACGATGAAACATCGACCTCTCCGACAGTTTCCTTTGAAACTGGAGACTCCCATCCTGCGATTTGCAATAAAGGCATTTCTTTCTAACTGAACATGGAATATTTCTCATTTTCGCGTCTGAATCGACGGGAAGAAGAGAAAAAAAAAATCGAAATCACCGTTTTAACGTAGTTGAGGTATGCCACTGAGGGAAGTTCGCAAGTCCTTGTTGTTCTCGGCGCCAGTATCAAATTCTGAAAATTTTAAATTTTAGGGAGTCTCGAATTTTAATCCAGAACCACATTACTGAGTGGAGAGACGAATGAACTGGTTTTTAAGTTATAATATATCCTATAAGTTTCAAGTCAACTTGCTGAAAGAACGTTTAATCGAACACTTTCTCTAATTTAAGTATTGTTTAAACGTTCAAAGGACTGCGGGAAAACAATTGCTGTAGTTCTTCAATAATGAATCATTATTCAAGGAATGTATGAACTTGGATTTGAACGAGAGAGCAAAGGATCTCTTGAAGTTTAAGAGCGAAATTTAATCTAGCTTTGTTCCGTTGCCACTTGAAAAGGGCATTTATTCCGTGTCAAGATAATCTTACTGAGCGTGATCAGGTGCTTTTGAGAATTTTGAATGTTGAATCGAATGCTTTCTCTAATTGAATTATTCTTTGAACGTTCGAAGGAATGAGGAAAAACAACTGCTAAATTTTTTAATAATGTATAATTATTCAATGAATGTCTTAACTTGGATTTGAAAGAGGGAGCTAATGATATCTTACAGTTTGAGAGAGGATTTAA